GCAAGACAGTGAGATGGATGTTCTTCGTTTTAGGCACAGGAAAATGTCTCACAACGCTATGGCGAGAGTAGTGAACACAGTGAGCACAGGATATGTGCAATTAAAGGACCTCCTAACATCCTGGGGAAACCTTGGGAAGGCTTCCTGGTGGAAAAAATGCAGGTCTTGAATCTTAATGATAGGTAGAAGGCTGAAAGAAAAAGAATGAGGGAGAAGTATTTTAGGCAGACATAATAGAATAAATAGTGTGGCAGGGAACTGTAAGCCACTGACAGGAGCCAAGGAAGGGCAGAAGAATCAGCATGGGAAGGGCCGGCCAGATAGCTTAGTGGACTAAAGCGCCTGCCTAAGCAGGGACCAGGGTTCGATCCCTGGTGTGCAGGGCCAGCTCCACCCCTGGGGTGCGCTGCACTAAATACATTTAAAAAAAAAAAATCAGTGTGGGAGATATGTGAGAAGGACAGCATGCAATCAAGTTTTTTTTGGACATTTTTAATAAGTAATATTAAGAAAATGAGGGGCTTAAAAAAGGAATGGTTACATAGGCAGCTGTGCGCTGAATCTGGATATTTGGGTAGCTGTTTCCAGGATGACTTTGGTGGGTGTGTGTCTGCATGTATAATTCAAAGAGGGGATTTATCACATTAGTTTACATGAGCAGAGGCTGAGTGACCTCACGATGGCCATCTGAAGCCCAGACAGCTGAGGAACCAGTAGCTGCTCAGTCCAAGAGAGAGAGGGACCAAGAATTGAACCCCAGGTTGCGGCTGAGGCCTGTTGCCCTGGAACAGTTGCTGGTAGAAGTCTGTACTCAAAGGATGAAGAATCCAGAGTCTGATGCCCACATTTGACGGCAGTAACAAGAAACTCACAACTGAAGCACATATAACTATGAATGAGCTCCCCTCTTCTTTCATTTTTTGTTCTACCTGAGGTCTCAGCCTACTGGACAGTACTACCCATGTTCAAGTTGGGCCGCTCTACTCAGTTTGCTAACTGTATCGAATTGTCTCTGGAAACATCCTCACAGAGATAGCCGGAAGCATGAGTTACCAAGTGTCTAGGGGGCTCAATTTAGGAGAGGTAACAAACAAGATTAACCACTGCAATGCACGTATTAAGGATTGGAAAGATTTGGTAATTGGTTACCTATGAAGGAGTCTTAAAGGGTCTCTGGTTTCTGACTTGGATAATTATGTTTACTTTGTCATTCACTGGCAGGGATTACAAGTAGTAAGTCCCAGAAAAAAAAAAAGTGTGATATAAGATTTGTCTTAGTCTTTTCTGCTGGTATAAAAGGATGGCACAGATTGAAGGAGTATAAACAATAGAACTTAATGCACTAGAACAATAGAACTTAATGGTTCTAGAGTTTGGGAAAGGCAGCACAGATGGGCCACATCTGGTGAGGGCTTCCTTGCCATCATAACATGGCAGAAGGCTAAGTTCTCACAAGAACAAGAAATTAAGGCTGGCCGTGGTGGCACTCGCCTATAATCCCAGCTCTTGGGAGGTTATAAACAGGCAGATCATTATGAGTCCAATCTAGTAGTGAGACCCTGAACACCCTGTAGACCCTTCCCTTACAAATACAAAAAACAAAATTTAAGGAGAAATTGGACTGGACCCACTGTTTTTATCAGGAATCCAGCAGCACAGTAAAGATACCCATTCATGAGAACAGAGCCCTTGTGACCTACCTTCCTCTGAAAGCTTCTACGTTACAACAGTACTGCAATAAGCTTTCAGCCTAAGTTTTGAGAGGACACTGAAACCACAGCAGAGTTGTCTGGCTGTCTAACAAGTGATGTAAAACTACCACCGAGTGACTTGCTCCTGGATCCTGGTGACTAAGATGGTAGAAGGGCTCTATTGTATGATGTTTGGGACCATGACTGGCAGGAGTCAGGTGACAGGACTGTAATCACTTCAAGATTCTTCTCTTACTACTAGGGCAGGGGTGCTGCTGGCTGGAAGATGAAGTCCAATACGTTAGAATTAGTAGCCGCTAGCCACTAAACCAGAGAGCAACCTGCACAAAGCAGTGACAGCCGGAACATCTAGAATTTGCCGAACACCTCTGTGAGGACCTTCTCCTGTGGTGGAGGGCCAGTTGGCCATGAGTCTGAAAGTTTACTGGGAGGAGGGACAAAAGAGAGATACAGAGAAATTAAGAGAGACAGAAACATAGAGAGATAGAGAGAGAATGAGTGGGCAAATCATTCTATAAGGTGCCTCAAGATGTGTGAAATAAGATCAGTGGCTCAAGGTTAGAAGATGGGTTCATATTGAAGAGAGTGAGAGAGTAGAGGTCATTAAGAAAAAAGTAAAAATATCAAAAGAAATGATAAGTTGATGGTTAATCTTGTTAATATTAAGCAATATAGGAAATTAGTAAAACATACTTTTGGTGTGTCCATTAGGATATTTCTAGAGCCAAGGGGTGCATGGAACAGTAAACTGGAGAGAGACCTGCGGTAATGTAAACAGCACCATCCAGTAGGGTGGTGGTCTGAATGAAATGAAACAGGAAATCCTGCTAGCTCTTTCTCTTTCCCTCCTTTCTTTCTTCTCTCCCTTGCTCCTGGCTGCTGGGAATCTCATCTGCTGTGCCTTTGTGCCCTGGTGTTTCTGCCTCACTAGTCCTAAAAGTGGAGCCAGCTGACTGTAGACTAAGGCCGCTGAAAATGTGACTCTTTCCTCCCTTAAGTTGACTTTTTTGGTGAGCTAACAGAATAAGAGAACCAAGATAAACTACAGGAGAGGTGCAGCGACCACTGCAAGTGTCAGCTCAGAATCCTGGGTCTATTTTCATCTTAGCCAGGCCGACGTCTTGGCCACAACTGGACCATGGTTGAGCACGCTGCATGACTCGGGCCACAGCACCCTTCCCTGTGATTTTATGCTCAAATTGTGGAGCAATTAGGCAAGTAATCCCAAGTGGTTTAGGTGTACTGAGTTGATGGTGATCACTGCAGGTCTGGTAGAAGTTGGTGGGGCCTTCCTCATACCTGAAGAGGATTTCTCTCTGAAGTTTTCTCATACCTATCCTCTGGTGCTTCATTGCAGTACCATGTAAGACCAAGAAAAGTGCACCCAAAGCATCTCTTTCAAGACTTCTCTATCTTCTGCTGACTTCTGAGCTAGATAAGCTGTGAAGTGCACCAACTCTGCACAGATGCACCCTGTGAGCTGAGTGGGAGTTGGGTTAGTACTTACCTGGATGCTCCCCCCCCCCGAATCCTCATATGCTCAAAGGTGGAGCTTTTGAAAGGTGATTGTGTGTGTTATGGGCCTGTTGTAGCTAAATGCAACATGAGAAGATGGTCAGAAGAGGCAGTAACTGGTGCCGTGGCCTAGAAGGGAATCTCCCTCCAGCTCTTTGCTTAGCTCTCTGTTTCCTGGACACCATGAAATGAGCAGCTATTCCTTGCCATGTCCCTTTGTCATGCTGTTCTGTCTTAGAGCCAGCTCACTATGAACTGAAACCTCTTTAAACTGCCAGACAAAATAAACCTTTCCTTCTTTAAATTGTGGGCACTGGGTACTGTGTCTCAGCAACCCAATATGCTTAGAGTTGTAAAAGTGTGGTAGTTTCACCTTCAGCAGAAAAAAATAAGAACAGTAGCAGGTAAAAAAGCAAGAGCTGAGAGCTGAGAAAGACCAACTTCTGACAGCATTTGAACCCCTGAGCCCAATCATTCCAAATCTGTCTTTCAGGTTTTGTGAATCTTTTCTGTTGCAGATGCAAATAGCCTACATAGAAACAAAACCAGGAGGGGAGTGGTAATCCTGAAACATCAAACTGGGTGAGTCATGACAGGGAAAGGTGAAAGGCTGGAATTCTCATTCTATGAAGCAAAGCAGCTGGTCAAACTATTACCTAGTATATTTGTGGCTTAGATAAATATCTCCACCACACTAACAATGAGAGCAACATGGACTCAGTAGAAAAGCATAAGGACAACAGGGCAGGGACAGTAAAAGCCATGTGCCCAGAGCCTCCTCAAGCTCTTCTGCTGTAGCCACTACTTAGCAAAGATCATAATTCTTCCTACTAATCAGCTTTGGATACATCCTGGAGATAAAAGTAGCTCCCAATTGTACCTCTTTTCTAAGAGGCAGAGAACAAGACAAATGATGTCAATTAAAAGTCCAGGAAAATGGGAATGATTCCTACTGCTGTCACTATAAGACTAAAATTACAATGATAGGGATCACAATTTAAAGATACCAACTGAACAAAATGTTGACAGTTGTTTCTGGCCAAAATGAGGCCAATCATGGAGGCCACCCATCAAAGGGTTTAGCCATCCTTGTCAACCACAGATGATGACTGCTTGGTTCTTATGGTGACCAAACCCCCCACCCCCAACAGCAACAAAAACCACCCTATAACTGAGAATGAATGGTTAAGGAGAGCCCATTGGAAGAAGTCTCTGAACATCACCTTAAACCTAGTAACAAAATCAATGAGCAGGAGAAATCTTCCCAGTAGGCAGGCTTTAGCACATCCAGATAGGCGGCCCAAGGAACCTGCCCTTGGGAGAAGGGAGCCACCTATCTCACGGTTCCTGTTGAACCCCCTAGAGGATGCTGCTTCCTCTTCTTCAAGTCATGTCTAATACAGCAGTCTTGACTCTTCTCTCTCTACCAACTTCCTCTCTGCATGTGGGGCCCATCATCTTAACGTTAGCATTGGGTATGCCTTCCATTCCTGTCTGCCTAACAATGACTCACATGCACTGAGACTCAACTTGCAATCTACAGAAAATGAAAAGCCCATAATCACACAGGAAGCATTTTAATCCTGAAGGGCCTGGCAAAAGCTTATACCTACCTATATAAAAGGCTTTCATTTAAGCTAAGTGTAAGATAGACATGAAACAAACAAAAAACATTTCATGTAGCATTTATTTTTTAATCCCATCTTATTTTCACTTTAGCTCTCACCTCTCATTATCCATCCGTTTCTTGGAAATCCTTTTTTTAAAAAAAAAAAAGTTTGAAATTACGATTATTTGGAATGATAAATTTTTCTTCTTTCCAAAGAGGGATGATACACAACTTTTATTCTTATGCAGCATTTTCAAATATGCATGTTCATATACATATATATTTCATAAACTATTTAAAATAAAAACCCTTCATCCTCTGAGATTATTGACATTTTTCTAGTCCACTGACACATCTCCCATAATACAGTAATTCCATTCATTTTCATGAATGAGGTGGGGACTATATTAAAAAATAGGATTTTAATCCCTGAGGTGCCAGTTAAAATGGAGAGGTTGCCATTGCAACACAATTAAAAAAAAAAAAATTAGTCTTAAATAATAAGCACGGATCATGCTATCTAGATCAGAATCACCTCCACAGCAGGAGTCACTTAGAAAATTGCATTTCCTGGGTCAAGGTCACCCTGATGCCTCCAGCTCTCATACTATAAGAATATTTCCTTTCGTAAAGGAATAACACATAGCAATGAAGTCTGCAGAAACTTCTGAGATCCTCAGAAATGGAGAAAGCATAGCCCCGTGTCTCAAATCTCCATCCACAGTGTTGGAGACCCGGTTTCAGCACCATTCCAAGCCCTGGAAAGGTTGATGAACCAACCTGGTTTTTCTTCTGCTCCACAGATAAAGTCAAAAGGAGAAATCAGTGCTGGATAAAAAGCTGACGAGTCCTGCTTTTCTTTGCCGCCACAACATTAGCAGAGCTGGGTTCAGCTCCTTGTCCCCACCGCCCCTGCAGACTTTCCCCTTTCCAGGCTGCTTCTAGGGGTGCGGGGGAAGGGGGTGCACCTGCGCCCCTAGTAGTAGCGATTCAGGCTGCGGGTGCCGGGCACCTCGGGCTGGCCATTCATCCAGATCTCTCTGATGATGCGTTCTCGCTCCTCCAGCCGCTGGGCTCGCTCCAGCTCCTCCGCCGACGTGAAGACATTCTTGTTCAAAGTCCTCTCAAAGCGGCGGTGTCTCCGCACTGACCTGTCCGACGTGGTGTCCGAGCTGTCCTCCTCGCTGTCGCTGCTGTCACTGCTGTTCTCCCCATCCTGCAGGAACTTCCTGCGGGGACCTCGCCTGCAATCAGTGTGGCAAGAGATCCGCATCACCAGAGCAGCCAGGGTCACGACCAGTCCGATGCACACGCCAGAGACGAAGTACAGAGCTGCTCGCTCCGGGTTTTCTGGAGGAGGGGGGAGGAGGAAGGGGGGAGAGGGATGGGCGAGGGGAGGGGTGGTTGAGGGAGGGGAAGAAAAAATCATCTGAGAGGAAAACTTCACATGCACACCAAATAGGAAGAACCGTCCACACCTCTTATCAGACCCCAAGCTTTGATGAGTACTAACGCTGCCCTCTTGTGTGACAAATTTCTAAGTACCTTTATTGACAAATAAGGACATAAGACTATTTTTCTTTTTCAGTTTTAGCTCTGCAATTATTTTCAAATGAAAAGTTAAAAGACAGAAAAATTGTAATTCTCTGCACTGTATGCACAGCATCTGTGCTTAGGTGTCGTTCTTGCTTAAGAGTGAAGAGGCTGAAGAGTCTGCACCTGTACCAACGTTTTCTGCTTGTGAATCTCTTCAGGCAACCCCATGAATTTCTTTTTAATCACTGTGACAGGAAGCTGCTGGGACAACCCATCTCCTGGTGTCTGCAGCCTCCAGCAACCAGCATCCCTTAAAGGCTGGCCCTGGGGCTTACTTGGAAGAAAAAGAATGTGATAAAAGCAACAGATGAGTCTAAGATGAGGCTGTGTAAGTCTGCGGCTTCATCTTGCCCAAGCTCCCTGGTGTTTCTTACTCTCTAACTCTGAGGAAGCCAGCGGCCATGAGAGCAGTCATCCAGAGGGGCCCAGCTATCAAGGATCTAAGAGCGGCCTCCAAGCAACAGCCTTCAAGGACCTGCATGATGCAGGAAGCCTTGTGGATGAGCCTGTGAGTGAATCACCCCTTGGTCTCCGGCTTTGCAGCAGCCTGGTGGGAGGTGGGAGACCTTGAACCACAGAATGCGGCTAAGCGGTACTCAGATTTCTGAATCACAGCAACTGAGAAGTAAATGTATGTTGTGTTTAAGCCCATGAGTTCTGGGATAGTTTGTACATAGCAACAGATATCTTACACAGTGAACTGCACATCTATAGCCAGTGTGGACACTTAGGAATGAGATCATCAAGTCAAGTGAAAGAGGAGGAAAAAGCTGAGCTCTTCCTTGTGGAAAAATAATATAATTATTCTCTTGATGAGCAATATGCTTAGTGAGCCCAGTGGTGATCCCGGTATGATGCACTCAGTAGAATGGGAGGTTTGGGGGAGCTGTTGTCCCTTCCCAGGAATGAGTGAGAACAGACTACATGCCTGATCTGTTTTGTTTTGTTTGTTTTTTGCAGTACCGGGGATCAAACTCTGGACCTTGTACATTCCAGGTACGTGTTTATGCCACTGAGCTGTCTCCCCAGCCCAACATGCCTAATCTCAGTCACAGGGCATCACCAAGCTAAGAGGTTCAAGGCAGACATTAGCGAATTAACTTTCCATATTCCATATGAGGGATTGAAAAACAGAACTAAGATCTGTATGTACACGTACCAACTCCTCATGAGAAATGTAATGATTACTGGTATGCCTCCAAATGTATACTTGTAAGAAATAAAAACTAGGAAAAAAGATTCAACTTGAAAGTAATACAGGGGCTGGTGAGATGGCTCAGTGGTCTAAAGCACGTACTTAGAACAAGCTTAGCAAAGCACAGGGACCGTGGTTCAATCCCCCAGCACCACATACCAGCCAGCACCGCCCCCTGGTGGGCTGATCCGGCCACACACACACACACAAATAAATAAATAAATAAAATTAAAAAAAAAAAAGAAAATAATACAGATTTCTTCGAGAAATTTTCAGATCTGTGTATTTATATCAATAATATTTTTCTATTATTGCATAGTGTATACAAGTTATTTTTAATTATTGGATAGGACTATCATGGTATATACCTACTGAAGTTGATGTGGTTGTTTATTGATAGTATATAATTATTTCATTAACTCCATTATATGATCAGAGCCAAGCTATAAAATAATCTCCTTTTCTCTTTCTTCTCTTTTGTCTTCTCCCACTTTCTCCTTTCTTCCTTTCGAGTTATTGTCAATAAAATAAAACCCAAGGGATAAGACAAGGTATGATAACTTCCCTAAATCATATGGCAATTAGAAAGGACCAAGCAAACAAACCCAAATCTGCCCACTGTTGAAGCCCACTCCCTTCTCATTATTTGCTGCCTCACACCCCAGGTCTGGCGCATCCTGGGTCCCACCCTTCCCAGAGGTTCCTGTCTACAAGAGTCTGGCTGCCTCGCACATCCTGACCCCATAGCTCAGTGGTCTGTGCCTAGATGCAAAACTGGTCACCAAACAAAGTAATTCAAATTATTAATGTCAATGTTAGAAGACAAATTTTGCCTCTCATGACTGGGCAGTATGTTCTTTTCCAAGTCTGCTTCTAATTTTTTTTTTTTTTAATGTATTTAGAACAGGGTCTACAGGGTCTCACTACAAAGATTAGACTCATAGTGATCCTTCCAGTTTTTCAGCCTCCCAAGCACTGGGATTACCGGTGCACACACCCTGCCCAGTCTCACTCCCTGTCTCAGGGCACCCCTGGATTGAACCCTGGCCCCTGTGTTTGCCTAAACAGGTGTTTTAATCCACTGAGCTATTTGGCTGGCCCATTTCTAATTCTTGATTTCTAGCAAAACAGCAAAAGAGAAGCCAACTCCCATTGCCGTCTATGTTGGTTACTTTTCTCTCATTGCTGGGACGAAATACTTGACACCAAAATTAAGGAAGGAAAGGTTTATTTAGCTCACAATTAATGGAGGTTTCAGTCCATACTTAGCTGGCTCCAAGGCAGAGCGGCACATGACAGAGGGCAGCCATTCATGGCTGTGGGAAATAGCAAATAGGAAAGGGAGGAGCAGGCGCTAGCAAGCCTCGGTCCCTTCCTTACATTACCTGCAGATTACCCACCCCAGGGCAAGTGTAACACTCACACCCACACTCCCACATTGGATCACGAATTAATCACAATCTCTAGAAGCCTGGCCAATAACTGCATGAGGCTTTGGGGAGAGAACTAGACACAAAACATAACACCATCTAATATACCATTAAAAATAATTTAGAGGGCCAGGGAGATGGCTGAGTAGAATAAGCGCTTCCCTGGCAAGCGCAAGGGTCTGAGTTCAATCACTGGTTCCATCAAAAAAAAAAAAAAAAGTAGGATGACAGATCACTCTGCTTTGGGCATAGAATACAAATTGAACTCAAAGACTTGAGTGACCTCATTATAAGAAAGCCTCTTTTGTTTTTCTCTATGTATTTATGTGAACAAACTTGCTCAGCAACTACATCTATGAAAACTCAAAACTGGCAGTAGGATTTTCAATGAATCAACCTCATGTTTACAAGAAGTTGCATTTAGCTACTAATGCAGAAACTAAGGAGACGTCACCTCGAGAAACACATTTCCTAAACATTTTAATAGTTCATGTTGAAAAACTCCCCTGTAACTTCCAACTTCATGTAGACTAGATCTCCTATTGAATATACCTTCTTTTACCCCAATCTATCTAGTTTCCTCCTTCAGTTCTTTCCTCTTACCTTTCCCCTCTCTTTCCTTCTCTCTCAATGGTTCCATTCTGTCTGAGGCTTCCCTTCAATCCACCAACTGTCTAAGCCCTAGGTCCAGGGTCATCCTTGTTCCATCTACTGAATTAATTAATCTCACTCATTCCTCTTTACCTTCCACCCACTTCTCCCTGCCATTTCCCCATCCTTGGGCAACCCCTGCAGCTGCTGAGCTTGACAACTGGAGTCCAAGCTTTTTTACCCCCACTTCATTTTTCTCATGGCTATCAATGCAACATTTTAAATTAGGGCTTCTGTTATGAGACATATTCTTTAAAATTAAAAAAAAAAAAAAAGAGGAATGTTAAGGAGCTCACAAACTTGGATCTGATCTCTTTCCTTAATCATATCCCAAATGCCTTCACAAGAGCCTTTATTCCAGACAGACTGAAGGCCTCAGTACTTACTCATTCTCAGCTCACAAGTATTTCCTCTTCATTACTGTACCTGACTCTTCTGCTTGAACCACCAGCGAAGCCTCTGGAATTTTTCCCATGGATAATTACCCTTCAATAAAACTGGGCCATCCTCTCTTAAGTTAACATAATGCTGCTTCAAATGATGTGCACTGAACTTCACAAATCTGATTTTCCCTTTTGACATTACGAGACAATCTAAACAAGTTTTCTTAGATTCTACTGATGACTACTTCATTATCAGTACTAAAAAAAATTCTCTACAGAAAGTTACTGTGAAAATTCTGCCAGAGGAAAAGAATTAAGATTATCCTGAATGGGGGCTGGCTTAGGCAGAATGCAGTGGCTCGGGTTCAATCTCCAGCCTGCCGTGCCGGCCCCACCCGCGGGATGCACTGAGACAGCACGGGCGTGGTGGCGCAGGCCTGTAATCCCAGCACTTGGGAGGCTGAAAACAGGAGAATCACTACAATACAATCTACATGGTGAAACCCTATAGACCCTACCCTAAATACAGGGAGAGAGAGAGAGAGAGAGAGAGAGAGAGAGAGAGAGAGAGAGAGAGATATTATCCTGAATGGGCTTTGACTTAAGAAGTATGTTTCTGAGTATATGAACTAGAGATAAGTTTGTGCTGCTCAGTAGACCCTGGAGAGACAGACAGACAGACAGACAGACAGACAGACAGACACACACACACACACACACACACACTGCACCCCATAATTGGATCACTGGGACTGGCAGGCTTTGCCTCCTTTATTAAACTAAACAAATTGGTCCAATTCTAATGCAGCCACAGCTTTTCTAGCTAGAATGCAGTGCACCTGAGATAGACAGGCCCGCTTCTTATAAGCTTGCTTGAAGGAGATGTTCCCCCAGGAAGCTGGACATGGACAGACAGCAGAGGGGACTCTCCAAGAGGAGGACACGTGGGTGAGCAAGCAGAGCCACCATGCTTGGCATTCTGTGGACATTTCCTGTGGAAGATCCGATTTTTATCCTTTAGCTCTCCTACCTGGGCTACAGAGACACCATATTTTGTCTGCCATCAGTCCTTAAACTCAAGGAATAAAATTCCTC